GGAAAATTCAGCTTTGATCACAGAAATAAATTACATTTTAATATAAATTCACTTAGAAAACAGTTATTTTAAATTGCAATAATATTTCACAATTTTACAGATTTTACAGAATTTTTAATCAAATAAATGCATCCTTGAGCAAAACAGACTTCAAAAACAAAAATAAATCTTACCGACCCCAAACCTTTGAACAGTAGTGCATTGACTAAATATAAGGTTTTGTGAGATTTTCATACATGAAGCTTGAGATTTTATTATCTGTGTTTGTTAAATAATGCACCACTTTTACAGCTGCTCATTAAAAAGAGAAACTCTAATACGCCATATTAAACATTTGCATGCAACGCAAACAAAAATCCCATAGAAATGCACTGAAGGAGGAACTAAGCAACCCGTATAACGGCGGTTCTCACAGGTTTCATCTTTAAGGAGGTTAATCTGAGATGGGTGTTTAACTACAATATTCTCCGTCTCTCCCTACTTTAGCATTCTGCTTTGTTTAACGGATGATGTGTAAAAACACAGCTATATAAAGCACACGTGACGTTTTCATAGCTTGACTTTTTTGCACCTCAAGAGCTAAAAGTAGAAGCACAGACGGAAATAACTTCATTTGAAAGTTACTCACAATTTTCCATCTTTGAAGGAGCGAACAAAAACGTTGTCTTTCTTCAATGTCACATCTTCGTGACAGTCTGGAGAGATGACCTTTAGACAAGGAAGAGAAACAGAGGATGGATGAGCACGTCAATGAGGGTTCGGCACAGAAAACTGCTAAATGACTAAATGTAAATGTAAAACATCATTTGATGTCGCTTTAGTCACCAAGTCATTTGTCTCCATTTGCAAAGAAAAGTTTCACACACAGTTTTATAAGGAATAGTTAATATTTAATGATTTAAGATCTCTGCTGCTCACCAAGGCTACATTTATTTGATTAAGAATACAGTAAAACCAGTACAATTGTGAAATATTATTACAATAAAAAAAAATTCTATGTGAATATATTGTAAAATGTAATTTATTTCTGTGATCAAAGCTGAATTTTCAGCATCTTTAACTCCAGTCTTCAGTCTCACATGATCCTTGAGAAGTAAGCAAAGGCTGCTGAAAATTCAGCTTTGTATCACAGGAATAAAATACATTATAAAATATATTCACATAGAAAATAGTTATTTTACATTATAATAATATTTCACAATTTTTGATCAAATAAATACAGCCTTGGTGAGCAGAAGAGACTTCTGGCAAAAACATTAAAAGCATTATAATTAATCAAAAATTTTGACCAGACGGGTAGACAGATATTAATGTATTTTTCAGGCCGTGATGTTTCCAGTTCTTTCATGACTGCAGGAACCCATGACAATGTTGTGAAACAAACAAACAAAAAATGATTTGGTGCACCTTGAGCATCCACTAACAACAAAGCCTAAATGACATTAGCGTTTTGAAACGACTGATACACCCCCGTCTTTCAGCAGAAGTCACCTTTGACCTCAGTTGAGCAGCAGGATGGGCGTCACCAAACCCCTGGAGCACATGTCACGGCCGTTCACATTTGCTTTGTTTTCTCTCTGAATGCTGTGATTCTGCCCAGAGCCGTGAGGAGGAGCCAGAGAGCGACGCAAAACACTACGTCAACAACAACAACAACTCACACAGAGCTAGCAGGGATATTTAAAGGGACAGCGTCTGGTTCGCCATGACTCTGTGAATCATCAACTACTGCATGCAAACGAGGGACAGAGCGTCTGTTAGCAGTGAGGACAGACACCGCGCAACACATGCTAATTCAGGAAGGAAGATGTAGTTTAATACCGCAGGAAGAATCTCTCCTGATCATGAGATTTAAAGCTGAAGCATGTCATTTTCTGTATGTTATAATAGCGTTTGGGGTGTCAGGTTAATGAGTCACTGTAAGTCAGTCGCTGGGAGTTTGTTGTCCTGAAAAGGGAAATACCATGATGCTTTTAAAACTCTGATCTGCTTCTGTCTCAGTTAATGACGTGAGTTCTGGATGGGACTATATGGATGGCCTAGTTAAAAATATAATTTAGCTTAAACAGGCATGGAAAACACTACTACTATGACTACATTTACTATACTACTATATTTTATTTTATGTACAGTATAAAGTCAAATTCAATATTATATTACTATATGCATGTAATATAAATAAATATATATATATATATAAATACATTTTAATGAATTATATATTTATGCACAAAATAAGCCTTTGTAAAAGTAAAGAGTTTCAAATACAGCACCATTTGAATTCAATTAAAAAAGTATATCAATTTCATATACTGTAATAAATGTATATGAATTATATATTAATGCACAAAAATAAGCCTGAAGAGGTTAAATACTAAATATATTTATACTACAAACATTTCAGTTTTTATTTTTAATTTGAGTAATTATTATTTTTCTAATATAGCTTTAATTATTAAAAAGCTTTAATGAGCTTTTTTACTTTTATTTCAGTTTTAGTAATTTTAGTAATTCATTTTTATAATTCAAATTGATGCAAATATACGTGACTCACCAGCGCAGGATACCATGTGGTTTTCTTCTTGTCGCTAGTGACGACTCCATGCACACACACCACTTTGCCATAAAGCTCTTCGTTTTGCAGCTGATCGCCCTCCTCTTCCTCACTAGATGATGAAGAGGACTCCTCTTCTTGACTGTGGAACCAGATCACATGTTAATGTGAAATAAACAACAGACTGAAAGGTGTAAAACTTCAAAAACGTGGCTCATTTTACATTTATATATGAATTTCATGAAATCATATTCAGATCAGATTTGACCAAACATTATATATTACATACAGAAAATTACATGTATGTTTTTTTATTTATATATATATATATATATATATATATAAAATATTTTTGCTTTCAATAGTACAATACATTTTAAAACGTTATGAACTAACTTTGACTCAGCATATCATTAATTTTAAGGCAATTTAGAATTCAATTTAAAAATGTTGAAACAATATTAACTGTAATTAAAAGTTCTAAGCGTTTTTAAAAATGGAATTATTCTAACCAATCAACGATTCTGGTTCAGATTCTACTTTTCAATTCTAGTTTCTAGTCCCCCCCCCATTAAAATACAGAATGGAAATAGCCAACAACAAATTTCATTGTCATTTAAGTCTTTCAGAGTTTCTCTCTTTCATCAAATGCATCTTGATTAGGTGTTTCGACTGAAGAACTGTTAACGGAAGAGAACATGCTAATCGTTTAGTTCTAGACTCTAACGACGAGTCAGATAAAGCTAAACATGATTCAACCGATCCACTCACAAAAAGATAAGCATCACCTGTCTCCCAGCGGCTAACGAGCACAATAGAAGACGCTGCTTTTCTTTTTCCCCGTGAGTTCTGATGAAGATAGTACGTAATTAGGCTCTGTGAGCTGACGAGCTTCTCGATATGGAGCGTGACTCAACGGCCGCTCTCAATTAAGAAGCCACACTCCAGCTCACCGCCAAGGAGAGACAATCTCGTTAACGTTAAATGAGCCAATCAGCAGCCCGCATCACGAATAAACATGACCTGATAAGCCACAGGGACTCCAAACACGAGCCGGGAGCTTTATGCAACTAACATGTTTTTACAGTTTTGTTTCAAGCAAAAATTTAATGATTATTATATTATAAAACTATAATGAAAATATAAAAACCTTTAAACTATTATTAAAATTAAAATGGCTAAAATCATTTACAGTTATTTAAAGAAGATGCAATACAATAAAAATATAAATATTGCATGAAAAACCTGAAAAGGTATAGGTTAAAGTACTAAAATTAAAGCTATTTGAAAATATAAAAATAAATAAAATTGGCAAAAGCAAATATTAAAATTACTAAAGCTCAAACTAAAATATAAAAATAAAGGATAATTCAAAACATTAATAAATACTATATTAGCATATAAATACTAAAATTACTAAAACTGAAAAAAATTAAAGCTATATGGAAGTAATAAAAAATTGCTAACAATGACCAAATATTTGCTAATTAAGTAGGAAAAATAAACTTTATGCAATTTTGCAAAATGTATAAATATTGCATGAAAAACCTGAAGATCTGAAATAAACACTGTAGGTATAGGTTGAAGTACTAAAATTAAAGCTATATTGAAATATTAAAATACTGATAAAAACTTGCTAATTAAGCAGGAAAAATACATGCATGTACATGTTGCTTCAAGCATTGTAATTAAATTAAAATAAAATATTAAAACTATTATTAGATTATAAAACTATTATTAAAATTAAAACTATTAAAAATAATTTATGATAACAAATAAAGTTTAAATAAAATATAAATGCTGCATGAAAAGCTTACACATTTGAAATAAATCACCAAACCTAAAAAAAAAAAAAAAAGAAAGCTATATGGACATTTTATAAAAATTACAAAACCACATAACAAAATTACTAAAATGAAAATGAAAATATACAAATAAATTCCCATTTAAAATATTAATAAATACTATAATCGTAAATAAATACTAAAATTACTAAAATGGAAATATGAAAAAAATAATACAAATGACAAAAGCATATAACAAAATTACTAAAATGTAAACTAAAATTGAAATGAAAACAAAAATAAACTAATACAAACAATTAATAAAATAGTACATAAACAATGCTAAAGATAACTCTGGCTTCAAGTAAATGTATCTTTATATTTTTACTGCAAAATAGGCAAAAATGCTTATTAAAGATCCAAAACCAGTCATAAGGGTACATTTTTTGAAATTGAGATTTATACATCATCTGAAACCTGAATAAATTAGGATAGGACAATATTTGGCTGAGATACAACTATTTGAAAATCTGGAATCTGAGGGTGCAAAAAAAATCTAAATATTGAGAAAATCATCTTTAAAGTTGTTCAAATGAAGTTCTTAGCTGTGCATATTACTAATCAAAAATTAAGTTTTGATATATTTACAGTAGGACATTTACAAAATATCTTCATGGAACATGATCTTTACTTAATATCCTAATGATTTTTGGCATAAAAGAAAAATCGATAATTTTGACCCAAACATTGTATTGTTGGCTATTGCTATAAATATCCCCCAGCGACTCAACACTGCTTTTGTGCTGCAGGGTCACATTTGATGTGCAGAACTAATTCAAACCTGAGCTAGATTTGACTAATCAATGCAACCCCAAACATTACGATCAGATCTGCTCCCTCAAAACGGCCGAGGCTTGTTAAAAGTTCACGAGTGACTGACGGAGTTAACGATGAGGTACGAAGGACGCGTCCCGTTCGAGACCAAGCACGGGCTTTTCTCTGATTTGTGTTTGGGGATTGAGGATTCCAGGGCAGCGTCTGTCATATTTGTGCGACTGCTAAAAGAAGAGGTATAATTTACAACAGCAAACACTGTGTAATCGGTGTTCCCAGGCTTCCCCAGAGCATCAGGACTAAAACACACAAACGCTTCATCCTTCAGGTGAGGAGTGTAACGCAATTAGTGACACTCACAATGTGTCAAACGAGTCCTGAACGGCCTTATTGAAGTGGAACGGGGCAGGAATGCCAAAACACTAGATTATGGGACTACAGACTGGGATAAAGCTACAAAGACACGCAACTGACCATTGAAAAAAGCTCTTTAAGCGCCATCCATTTGACCTCTGAAATGGAGGATCCACAAGTCTGACACTGAAAATCAACATTGATTCAATGTCTAATTTAAAGAGGGAAATAAAGGAGGTGGATATGCATGCACCAGGGTTTCTGCAAGTTCTATGAATTTAAGATATAAGAACTTTTTAAAACCAAGTAAAGAAAATTTAAGGAATAAATAGACGGGGACACAATGGAATTCAAAAAAACAAGAACAAAAATCTGCTAATGGGATCAGAAAAATCAACTCGAATGGAAAACAAGATCATTTTTTCTGACTTCACTGCCAGATATTTGTTCTTGTTTTAAGCTTAAACTCACTTCATTTTGTTTCATTTCTCACAAAACAGAAATATGTTCATTCTGCATCTCAAGTAAATGTATCTTGATTTAAGGATGTTTTGATATTTGTTTTGGAAATCAAGACTAAAATACTGAGGTAGATATATATATATTTTTTTTTTTTGCAGCACATGCAACATTTAATGCCACGACTTTATGAAATTAAGGCTTTCTGCTCTGGTTTAGGACCTTTTTAAGACCTTAATTTGTGGAAGGCCGAATTAAGAGTTTTTAAGACCATCAGAAACCCTGATGCACTGATGAACAATAAGAGCAGAAAACATGTTTTAATACAGTAAATAGAGTTGATTTTGATTTCATATGAACTTAAATGCAGTAAACGCTTGTACACTGAAAACATTTAAAAAAATGAAGACGTACACAAAACACATTACTGGGGTACATTTTCTTTATCAGACTAATGTGTCAATAACTTTAAGCAGTACTGTGCTTTTTGTGATTCAATAGCGAAATATGCACGATCGCAAAAAAGACATTTTGTTGATTTGCATTGGGTTTGGCAGGAAACATTGGTAAAAGCATGTTAATTTTTCCATGTAAAGACGCTCACACGGGGTTGGAGCGTCGGCCTCCGCGGTTTCCCTTTCTGCCGATGACAGGAGTGCCGAAGTGTTCGGGGTTTGTCAGAGGAAGCCTGTCGAGCGTCTGGAAGAGAAACACACCAGATTCACCAGACAGCACTACAATAAAAATAAAACCATAATACAGTGTCATTACTTGAAATAAAATAAACACATTGCATTGAAAAAAAAATGCAACATTCTTCAATTTCATTTACTTTAACTTGATGTAGTAAAATAAGTTAAACTGAAATAAAATGATCAAAATTGACAAAAAACAACATCAACATAATAACTAAAACTTTAACTAAAATTTAAATTAAAACTGAAAATATAAAAATGATTTCAAAATATTAATAAAATGATAATACCATCTCAACGATACGAAAATAACACTGCTAAGAATGTGCACCAAGCATTATTACAATACTAATATTTCTTATTTTGTCTAATTTTTATGACAAATAAAATTACACTTGTGCACCAAGAAGTGTTTATAGGCTAATTAAAACTTTAACAAAAA